AGAACTCTTCGTACACTTCTCCATTTAAATTGGCGGGCAGAAAATGAGGTCCAATTAAATATCCATCAATGATGCCCAACCATACATTGACTGAAAACCGGCTCTGAGACCCCGTCGGTCTTATTTTTCGGGGGCTTAAAGCTTCTTTATCAGCCCAGTAATGAGCCTTATGGTACTTAGTGATCCCGTCCTTATCAAACTTCGATTCATCGGTCCACAGAAGTTTCTTAAAATAGTCTGGATCTTCTGTATCTGCATGTATCATGTAACATGTACCTGCAGAAATCTAATCGTCTTGCAGGATCGCCCTCTTCAATCACATGCACACGCGTGTAGTGATAAGGGTATAATCTTGAAGTATGCACAGTAAACCATAGTTTGTATTGTGATATACCCAACTGAGCAGCCACAATGCGCGTAGACGTAGTAGGGTCTTCCTGAAACACACGAAGGATTTCCTCTTCATCTTCAGGAGGATAGACTCGGGGTCGACCAGCATCACTATGTTGCCTTTGAACACGTCCGGTTTGGCGGATGCGCCGATACACAGAGTCAAACACAGTAACATGAGGTGTTCGGCGATTCGGGAAACGTTGCCGATATTCACGGCGGGCAGCTGCAGAATCGCCGTTACAAAGTCCATAACAGAACACTCGAAATGAACTGGGAAACTCGAAAATAATCATCGTGCGTAAAACGTGTGCGTGTACGCAGTAGTTGATACCAACTAAACCTAATTCTCACTCGGCGTGCGGCGATGGCGTAACTACAATGATGAATAATAACAGCTTTCTCTCTCGCTCTCACTCCTCCACTAAGTCAGCTCTTCTCGCTCGCTTCCTCGTCGAGCTGATGCCATAAAACAATCATATGCGAGTCCTTTGAGGACAGTAACGACTTGTTCAGACAGGTAATACAAATTCCTTAAAAATCCAGCCTCTGTGGGTGTCATTGTCGTTTCTCTGCATGTACTTCAGATAATTGAACGCTTAATTCCTCAAATGAAAGCTTGTTAGATAGGGATATTATTTACATAATTTGCACATTTCATTACTAGGAGATTTTCTTATAGAAAATTGCCTTTTTTATCGAATAAGTTAGTAAAAAAAAAAGAAAATGATGCATTTAAAAAGCGTAATTTTAAAACGTTTGTAGCTTTTCAACATTTTATTACTTATTATGAACTATTGGAATGTCTGCTATGCGACGATAACAAAAAACTTAAAATCAAGCATACAGTTTTTTTGTATTTCAATTATAACCGTCTGAAATCGGAATAAAAAATAAAAAACTTAAAATTTAAATAAATCAAAAATGGTTAACTTCTGGATAAGACAGGATAGAACAAAATCGGTTGCTTTTGACCTAATCTATCACCCCTTATTAGGAATGCATGACATTACAAGTCACCCTGTATATATATAAATATATATGTTGGAGAATTCGGCCAGGGGCCGATATAATTGGACATATCGTCATACGTCCATACTGAATGCGTCAGATGCCGAAAGAGAGATACAATTCGGCATCTCGATAACATGATTTAGACACATTCCGAAATGGCTATATACATCCAGCTGATGCCGAACGGGAAAAGGCGATTAATTTAAATTAAAAACAAATATGGTTTATAGACTTAACGTAACTTTTATTTTATTATTAATTGATACAAGAAGTACTTGAATGACATTTACTATTACATTTTATCTTATTTATTACACATTTGAATTTTTTGTCACCACACTGTTTTCGACAGTTGCACCGTACAAAACCCTGTGAAGAATTAGGTATCACCATTACTCCAAACATTAAATGGCAACTGAGAAGGTGCAACTATGCTTTTTGAAACTCCTTGCTTACAAGACTGACGGTACTTATACTCATATAAATATACTTAATGAGCATCTTACTTCTAAATTTGAGATAGAAAGTCCGGATCCAAGACAAAAAAGTAACTTTTTAACAATTTTGTATAAACTCTTACATGATAACTTAGATGCCCTCGTACTTGTATCTATTATTTTTTTACGCCTTGCTTGAGAACTAGAAATACCAAAACATTCAATTGTGAGAGAGCTAGAACTAATTTGCGTCGCCAGTACTAACTTTGGGTGAAAATTTTTATTCAATTTCGCCTGTTTGTGATATAAATTTTACAGTATCTCAACAATACTGAACTGTGGATATTTTAGTACTTGGACTTTAATATGTCTAGCATTTGACTTTCATTATATGTTCATTTTGTAAATATTCTCATTTAGTTCAACCCACTGACAAACAAACTGCATGTGAGCGCTTTACTACAATAATTTGAGGTTTGTGATGTAATCGGCAATGGCATATTAATGAAATGCGCACTTCGCGACATGGCTAGATTAAGTTAGTCAGATGACGAATTTCGGCTTCTGGCTTGCGTGGTATGGACATATGGCGATATGTTCAATTCTATCGGCCACGGGCCGAATTCGCCATCTGTCTCCAACACACACACACACATATATATATATACATTCCAATAAACCTCACATTAGCTGGAAAGTAAAACCGAAAAACAAAATTCAAATGTTAGAATTAGCATATACCCCACTTACCATTTGTTGTGTTTTTAAAATCGTACTATCTGCTAATCAATTACAGCATTTTGCAGGTCATTTTTTCTTGATAGACGTTTTGAAAAATAAAATCAAATTTAGACTATCCTTGATTATCATGCATGGTTTCATAAATAAAGATATACAGCGTAGCCATCCATGTGTGGACGGAATATTACTCATAAACAAATACATTTTGGGAAAATCTATTTATGGGATGTTATACATGACATTTGAGGGCACATTTCTAAAATATTGGGCATTATACAGGATGTCCCAATTTCGAACTACATATCAAAGTTGTGATTTTTCAAATGGAATGCCTCAAATTTTATTGCGTATTTCGATAAACCAATTTAAAAGAAGAAAATTGATATAACATACTATGGGGTTTTGGTAATAAACTACTGAGATATAAGGTGTTTTGTCTAGAAAAATCCCAAACTTCGGCAACCACTCAGTCCGCCATTTTAAAATTTGGAGTGCTGAATTTTGTATCAAAAAAAACTTACACACCTCAGATTTTATCTTATTTGTACTTCGAATTTTAATTTTTTCTCATACGGTGGTCAAAAACGCAAATTGTAGTTTTTCTCAAAAATTTCAAATGCATCACCCGGTATATTTGTGCAAGTTTGGATTCAATTTTATAAGTTTTTTTGATACTAGACATATATATGTTTTTACGGGTATTTCTATTCGGTTATTAGCACGTCTTTTATGGAACGGCTTAATTCCCTAAAATATCGCATCATCCTTGGAAACAAATAAATTGTTAATTAGTTATAAACTGTCAAAATTAGCTTTGTGAGCATTATAAAAAACGTGTTTGAAAATGAATTTTTCTAAACAAGAAATGGTGAATATGGTGTTCGTTTTGGGCGAAGCCCAAAGAAATAGTTTCCTAGTATCTCGCATTATAAAGCAACGGTACCCTAATATGCGACATTCAACGCCGGAAACATTTTCCTCACTACGAGAACGTTTTGAATCAAGTGGAGCAGTGGAATATAGTAAAAAAATGTATAAATATTCCAAGTGTCACCAATCAGGCGAATCAGTTGGATGTTCTATTAAAGTTGCAAGAAAATCCCCATTTTAGTGCATGGCAAATTGGAGCAGAAACTGATATATGCAGAACTTCTGTCCAAAGGATTATTCACAAGCATAGGTACCATACATACCTGTATCACCTATGCTTGCATCAAGGCCTTCGTCCTCAGGATTTCGCAGCTCGAATGGAGCTTAGTAGAATAATGCTAAATAAAGTGAGTGAAGACACTACTTTCCTGGATAAGGTTCTTTTTAACGATGAGGCAACTTTTAACAGCATAAGTGTTGTCAACAGGCATAACATTAACGTACACTATTATGCGACGGAAAACCCTTACTGGGTTAGGCAAATAGATTTCCAAATTGATGGAGCTTGAATGCTTGGGGAGGAGTTATTGGCAGACAAGTTATTGGGCCTTTCTTTTTCGACAACAGTTTAACAGGTACAGAATACTTGAATTTTATCGAGCATATGCCTTTGCTTTTGGAGTATGATTACCTGTAAACTCGGATGCATATGTACTTCCAACATGACCGCGCACCTGCGCATTATCATAATCGTGTGCGTAACTATTTCTACACCTGGAGTAACAATCGTTGGATCGATCGTGATGGGCCTATATCTTGGCCTCCCAGATCACTAGATATGATACCGATGGACTTGTTTCTATGGGGCTACGTTAAGCAAGAGGCTTATAGATATCCACCATCTACCCCGGAAAATATGAAGGAAAGGATTAAGGATGCTTTCGTGAACATCACAGAACACATGCTGGGGGATGTGCAACGGTCATTTATCCAAAGACTACGGCTGTGTATTGAACATGGTGGAGATATTTTTGAGCAGTTTTTGTAGATTAGGTCTTGAGTAGTGATAGTTGTTTGTTTATGTTGTTGTTATAGTTGTTTTTCTCTATTACACTTGAAGCTGATTTATACTGTTCTGATTGTTATTAGTTTTTACGTAAAATCTGTACTCTTAGTGGCAATGTGGAACTAGCCCACTGTTTGTCTTTTGTTTCCATGTATGATGTGATTTTTTTCCCTTAATTTTGGTGTGTTGTTCTATCAAAAGCTTAATAATTGAAAATCTAGTGATTTTATCTAAATCGAAACTTACACGAAAAAAAAAATCCTATAAATAAATAAATCCAAACTTGCACAAATATACAGGATCCTGCATTTAAATTTTTTGAGAAAAAGTACAATTCGCGTTTTTGACCACCCTGTATGAGCAAAAATGAAAATTCGAAAAAGTAACAAATAAGATAAAAGCTGAGGTGTGTAAGTTTTTATTGATACAAAATTCAGTACTCCAAATTTCAAAATGGCGGATTGAAAGGTTGCCGAAGTGGACGGTTTTTCTGGACAAAAGACCTTACATCTCAGTAGCTAATTACCAAAACCACATAGTATGTAATATCAATCTTCTTCTTTTGAATTGATTTATCCAAATATGCAATAAAATTCGAGGCATTCCATTTAAAAAATCACAAGTTTGATATGTAGGTCAAAATTGGGACACCCTGTATAATTGACAATATTTTGGAAATGTGCCCTCAAATGTCATGTATAACATGCCATAAATAGATTTTCCCAAAATGTATTTGTTTATAAGTAATATTCAGTCCACACTTGGATGGCCCACCCTGTAGACTATATTGTGGTGTATGTCTTCACACATCAAAGGCAATGAGATTTTGATGTGTCACTCATACATTATTTATCTCGTTTCACAGAGTGTTGAACGTCTAAAATAACCCTCGACCCGCTCGTGCAAAGGCAGAGATTGGAGATCGTCAGTGTCCGAAAAGCAGCCAACACGAGTGCGAACGGCGTCTCTGATATAAGTTTGTCATCAGTTAGTGGTAAGTGTTGGTATTAATTAGTGCTTTTAAGGAGACGTTGCACAGATACGACTGACAACACTGATTGGTTAAATAAGCAATTTGTGGATATACATTTCGAATTTCAGGAATACATCGAATACTAAATAAATATGGGATGACATACTACTCGTTATTTTCTAAACGGGTCGAGTTATCAAGCTGAAATTCTAGGTACCGAAATTGATACATGAATACTATATTTAGCTTAAATCAAATTAAACATTTGACCAGTCAGCGTCGAAAATCGTATATCTATGCAGCATTCCATTAAGGATAAATAAATTCATTTATTTAGCGGATACGTATTTTCATTACAACCCATATAGCGTTATGTGGAATAAATACTTCTAGAAGAATCTACGTACTGGCCAAAATTTAAAGTTCTCATAAACGTGGGCTTTGAAATGCCCTGTTTTCATGATAGAGGGAGTCAAACTCGTTTACCATTAAAAAACGTAATAGCCCTTTGGCCAGTTTTAACAAAACTTGTTGGAATTTGAATGTGCAGTCGTATCGCCGAAAAATTAGATAAAATAGAAAAAGAAAAACGCGTGACCTTTAAAGGTAAAAATAATTGGTTTTACATCCGGTAATCTAGGCTGCTATGGCAATTTGTGATTTTATTCAAATTTTCGACGGTGCGTCTATATCTGTTGTATTTCCAAGAAAGTTTAACTTATATTTTAAAAACACATCATTTTCAGACATACCTTTAATGTACTCGTATTGGCACGGTGCATATCTGTTATCATCTAGAACAAGTCTGAACGTTACTTACAGGTCGGCAAATCCAGGTTGAGCCGCGAGATGCGCAGAAAACAGAGTGAGACGGTGGATGTCTGAGACAAACGATAATACCCGACGGATATAGAAGTACTGTCGACGCGGCAAGTTCAGCTACAGCCTGCCAATTTCTGTCATTTAATTTAATTTCATGAAAGGCTACCTATTTTACAATTACAATTCGCCCTTCGTAGACAACCCTTTGACTTCGCTTACCAACTACACTGAGAGACATTTTAAAAGACGTCCGAATTTGGCATTTCACTAGAACTTTACGGAAAAAATGTTTGGATGCAATTCTTTCATTAAGGTATGAGCTAATTTGCTTGATGGTCGCATATGCATTGAATCTAGCTGAATAGTGGGGATAACCCTTCATAAAAAAACGTGCCTCAGCTCTTCTGAGCCTAATGTTTAGATCTTTTCAGAAAACAGTAAATTGTGTACAAGGATGTTGAAACCATATATCTTTCATAATGTCCCACAATTTATGAGATATGCCCTACCCGAGGCATAATTTTTCAAATAAGGAAAGAAATATTGATTCTAACTGAAAAACATAATACAAAAATATACCTAGAGAAAAACGGTAACAAGAATTTTGTCGCCGTTGTAACTTGTCTTTATCATTTTTTATTATAGCTGGGTTATATGTATGAAACCCTTGAAATTATAAGAGCATCAAACAATACCATTTTCAGTTTACTGTTTAATATGTTTCTTTAAGGATATATTTGTTTGAGAATACTATATGATTTTGAGCATGATTCTTTAATATGGAAATAATTCATTGTCCAACCATAACCCTAAAGGTTGGCAGCGTATAAATGTAATAACATCGAAAAATTGATATAAACCTTCCCCATGCCCCCACAACTCCCACCACCAAGTATTTTTCCTCTAATTTTTTTTCAAAAATGGTTAGGATGCTCTGAAACGTAAAAAAATGGAGTTTGTGCGAATTTAACATTTTTCGTGTTAGGCCTTTTTCTCTGGCGCCACTGGACCTATTTCCAAAAACTACGAAGCTTTTGCGTCCTTGGCATAGTAACATTGGGTAAAAATTTCTTCCAAATCCGAGCGGTACTTCTCAAGTTATAAGATTATGGGACAGACCGATAGACAGACCGACGGAAATGAAAAACAAATTTCTCATTTTCGATAATTTTCGCGATTACATTACTTTACCGCCATTAGGCGTGGTAAGTAAAAAATGAAAGCAGATTTGCTCTCTTGAAAATGTTTAGTCGGACGTACGGTTTCATGGGGATTTCAAGAATAATTTTTATTTTAAGAGAAACCAGTGGCGTACCATTAATTCTGCCAAAATAGTCAGATAAAACTCCGTACAAACGCCACTGGTGGAAATTAAAAAATGTGGTTCATTTAGAATGCTTCTTGGCATTGAAATATGTAAAGTAGTTATTAATGATATAAAAAATAAATGATTTATTTTTGTAAACCTCACCACACTGTATATCAAAAGTTAAGAATCACATATGAAGTTTTCTTCTTAAAACGGACCCAAAAAACGGTCCCTGAAATATTGACATTTGATACGTGTTCACTTTTCTCTTAGGGTCCGCACGGGTATCACGTATCTTAAAAAATGACAGTATGCTGATTTTTTTTGACATTATGCTGTTTTTTTGACATTATGTAGGGGTTATTCTACAAGATGTTAACTTAGCACTTAGTTGTACGTGTTGCCTAAACGTCATGATGCTTGTTATCAATCTTTGGCTTTGATGTGATGTAAAATCTGCTTCTGAGATGGCATTACTGGAGGTGTAAGCAGTAAGTTGTATGTGTTGATGATAATTACATTGAGTTATTGTCTCAAATATACTTAATTGAGATTCAAAGCTAGAAATTAGTTGCGCATCCACTTTTTCTTATCCATTCTGGAAATTACATATACAAATTTGCTGAATTTCAAAAATGAGAGAGATGGAAAATAATTATATTCACTCTACACTGTGATTCTCCTCAGTTTTTCGTAATTTATAACTCTGAACATAACCTCCCTTCAGAAAGCACAACATATTAATAACCCGTCATATTCGGCATATTCAGTAATGATTTTCTCACACAGCAAATATCACTGATTTTATACACGTGCAGACAAATACACATAATCATCCATATGCGATCTTGCTATTCAACCAACTTTCTTCTCAGAGATAAAAACTACAGACCCGGATCACTCAGCCTCGCAAAGCTATGCAACCAATAATGCGTAGTTTAGTTGAGTGATTCCTCCATAGATGGACGTTCACAACGATCCTAGTGAGCAAACGTGGAATGACTGTTTGCGCCCTAAAAACTACCTAGTCTGCAAGTTGACATCTTATAGGTTTTTTTGACGTTTTATAGGTTTTTTACATGATACCCGTGCCGGGCAAGGTGAATGAGTTGCGTCGTTTTGTTTTGTGTTATCGATTTTCTTTATAGCTACAACTGACTAAGAATTGTTCTATATTCTTCAAAGAGAAAAAAAAGAATCATTTTAGATGTTTTCCTTAATCTTATATTAATAAAAATGTTTGTAATAGTAACAGAAAGCTTAAGGTGTCCATTTCGCCTTGGTTTGCCCTACTTTCTACTCGCGCTGTTAAACCATATCTTCGTAATTTCGTCAATTTATTTCAGATAAAACAAACGCCACAAGCTGTAGAATAATGTCACACGATCAGGGGAGCATTTGTAAATCACCTGGTAATGTTATACCATACACAGTAATTTAACGTAGATTGACAGATGACATTTAACTCTGCGACACTGTGTAACTTCATTTTTAAAACTCCTAAATTATTACAAAGCCATGTAATGACACTTGTTGACAGTCCACTGATTTCTAACCACGTTTTACGCAACCACTTTATTATAACATAAGAAACGCTATTGATACGAGGCAGTTCCATTTATCTTGAAAAATATACATTATGCCAATTTTGAGCGCTTTTTGATAACCAAATAGACAAACAAAGAACCACAAGAATGACAGGTAACAACAATGTTATACCCAGGGTTTTAAGCACGAGAAGAAAAGTGCACTTTTGACGTGCCAGAAGGATTACTTTGTACTACCTGCATTTCCGAACATATGTTCACTCTGTAGCAGTTCATGAACTCAGCCCGGTATTTACTGCGATCCATCAGTATTTATCATGGAGTCTGATATTTACAGGTTATGTAACCAGGACGTCACTTATTATTCATGTATAAGGTCTACTAGAAATCCATTGACACTGACAGAATAATCAGTGAATAGATAATAATTTATTGTCGAAAATACAGATATGTATAATTTGTTGCCAGTACAGGAGCAAAAATGACAAAATAAAGCTCTGCCTCGAAAGAGAAGCCTTGGGTGTGGCAATAATCTAATTTTTTGTCACATTTGCCATCATGGTCCCTGGCGAAACAACTTATGAGTCGTGAAATGGCACTGGCTATTTTTTTGTTTAAAATTATAGTTAAAAAACGCATTGAAGCTATAGCTGTCCGTAAACTATAAAGAAGTGAAAATAAAAAAGAAGGTTAAAGATATTAGAACACAAAGAAATAGTACATTCACAAACCATTGAGATTTACACATTAAAAAAGTATTAACATTGGACACTAATAAAAGTATTTCTATCGCAAATATAGTAAAAACTAATTGATATAAAACAAACATACGGTAATCATCACATTCATACAGGCTGGTGACTGTATCTGGCCTTTACATAGAGGCATGTACAACGTTTTGCCATCTATATACTCATGTTTTTTTTCTAGGGATGGTTTTGTTTGTAATCGACAGGTATTTCATTGAACAGTTTGGAGCATAGATAAACCCAAGAGCGTTATAATAGTGTTTTTTCTGGCTTGGGTACTATTTGGTGCAGAGTCGCTTTTTGGCGGGTGTAATTAATATTTATGGATCATTTTTTCATGATGTTTTATTTTTAAAGTAATGCACCATGGAATTATAGATAAAAATCTGTTTTATGTCCATCACTTCGGTCTCATGTTATAATTCGTCAGACGGATGAGTTTTCTTTTTTTTTTTTTTTTTTTTTTTTATATCGAAACAGCCGCGCAGGCAGAAGCCTAAATGCCGGAACACCGCGGCTGCTATGATGATCCCAAAGAAATTTTGTTAATACGATTTTTAAACTGCCTAAGGTTAGTAGAACTGGGAAAAGCCTCCTCCCGTAGTTTGTTCCACAATCTAGACACCCTCGGGACAAAGGAGCGGTCGTATCGGCCAGTTCTGGATGTACGAAGTTTGACACGGTTAGGATGGGACGCCGAAGTCAGGCGGGTCTGTCTGGCAGGCACATCGCGCGGCGGCATCATGGAAGAGAGCTCTGAGGAGCAAAGCCCGTTGGTGTAGCGATAGAAAAGAGCTAGATCGCCGACGGCCCGCCGGTGCGAAAGAGTCCCGAGACTGTCTGTTAGAGAAGAGTCATCGATCAGTCGGACCGCCCTCCTCTGGACAGCATCGAGCATGGACAATGTAGTCGGGGCGGCAGCACCCCAAATGTGTGAGCAATACTCGAGGCTAGGCCTTATCTGGGCCTTGTATAGAGTGAGAAGGTCATGCGGAGAAAAGTACTTCTTAGCCCTAAACAAACAGCCTAGCTTTTTCCCAGCCGCTGCAGCTATTGAAGAGATGTGTTCGTGCCAGATCAGGTCCTCGGTGATCTGGACTCCGACCAGCCGAAATGAATGGCTCTTTGGTAGGACTCGACCGTCCATCGAAACTGTATGAGCGCTAGGACGCTTTTTGTTCGTCAAAGTACAGTACTGTGTTTTGGAAGCATTGAACTGTACAAGATTGTTGCGTCCCCAAGCAGTGATAGCCTCCAGGTCTCTTGTCAGAGAAGAAGTCGTCGCTAGTCTTCTTTTTTCCAGCTCAGCGGCAGAGATCGGCTTGTCACTTTGAATTCCTGCATGTAGAGTGCTGTCATCAGCGAAGCTGTGGATTGGGTTGATCGTGCAGGAAAGGAGGTCGTTGATATGTAATAGAAACAGTGTTGGAGCCAAGACCGATCCCTGGGGAACACCCGCGTTGACGTTGTGGGATGAAGAGGAGAATCCGTCGATTACGACGGATATCTTGCGGCCAGAGATAAAGTCAGCTACCCATCTGCAAAGCTTTTCTGGGAGGCCGTAGGATGGAAGTTTGCTCAAGAGGGCAGCGTGCCACAGCTGATCGAACGCTTTCGTGATGTCAAGAGCAACGACATGAGCCTTTTGCTGACAATAATCTTTAATATACATTTCTGAGCAATTTCAAAGTTTCTTAAACATGAGAATG